ACCCCACTGGCAGTTAAAAGGAAGAAACAGCTGCGATCACACACTGCTCCTAGAAGCACGAAGCTGAAGACACCAGCCTGAAGATGACGAATGTGACTTTGTCGAAACGTCACCAAGACACTTCTAATTTTACGCGGGAGAAAACCCGAATAACTAAAGACATACACACACACACACACACACACACACACACACACATAGTGGAAAAACCAAATGAAAAAGACAAAAGACAGCAGCACAAAACAATAATTCTTACTTTAAGATTCAGAGGTTTATTTTGCTAATAATTTGGAACATAGCAAGCATAATAACACAACATCACTTACATTAATAACCCATTGCAATGAGAACCATATGGCGTAGCAGATTCCAAAAGGACAGCTAAAGGCCAATGGCAAATCAATCAGGTCCAGTCCCAACTCTTATACCCTTTCTCGTTCTAAGACTGAAGTCAGATGGTCCGCTGACTTTTGCTGACTCATGCTGACTTTTGCTGACTTTTTAGTGACCTCCTGCTGATCTTCTGCTGAACATAACTTTCCACATATACCCATGTACATTGGAACCCGCATCCATCAGCTACTTTCAGTTCCCTATTTCTTACTGTTCCATTCCTTATATTCTAAATATACACAGAACTACCTACTTTGCAATTTCATATTGCACAAAGCTCAGCAGATTACAAATAATATGTCCATATTGTGAAACAATATAGAGTTCGAGTTAAAGCTTTGTTTTAAATCACTGCTCTGGGGCCTATCTCAGGATTGCTCCAGCCTCATATTGTTACATGAGGAGGGGGCTATATTTTCATCTCTCTCTCTCTCTCTCTCTCTCTCACACACACACACACACACACACACTCACACACATATATATGTATAGATATATATGCATGTGTAGGTCTTTGGTCATTCGGGTTCTCTCCCGCGTAAAATTGGAAGTGTCCTGGCGACGTTTCGACCACACATCTACGCAAAAAGCAAACCCAAACCCACACAGATGATGAGGCACGACCACAAACTAGAAGCCAGTCCACAGCTGCATCATTAGCCACTTTAAACCTCTCCAATCCATACATGAAGCAAACTGACACCCACCATAAAGATGTGGCACGGCCACAAACACGAAGCCAAACTACAGCAATGAAGCTCACCATCTCAAATCCCCCTGCAACTCAGACTAACCTGAGCACAATAAAGCCCCCACCCAAACAGAACACTCCCCCATCCAATCAGAGCACAGCCAACCCCCCATCCAATCAGAGCACAGCCAAGCTCCTTAACCAATCAGAACACACCTCCACCCAATCAAAACACAGCCAAGCTCCCACCCAATCAGCTCAAACCCCACTGGCAGTTAAAAGGAAGAAACAGCTGCGATCGCACACTACTCCCAGAAGCACGAAGCTGAAGACACCAGCCTGAAGATGACGAATGTGACCGTCGAAACGTCGCCAGGACACTTCCAATTTTACACGGGAGAGAACCCGAATGACCAAAGACCTACATATAAACACCTGCGAAAACCTCAGAAAACAAATATATGCATATGTATATATACATATATGTATGTGTGTGTGTGTATGTATATGTGTGTGTATGTATGTATGTATGTATGTATGTATGTATGTATGTATATATGCAGGTCTTGGCGTATTCGGGTCTTTTCCCATGTAAAATTGAGAGTATCTTGGCGACGTTTTGATGAGGTCCCACTCGTCATCTTCAGGCTGGGGTCTTCGGCTTCGTGCTTGTGTGAGCAAAGTATGATCGGAGCTGCCGTCTCTCTATAAATATTGGTGTGTGTGTGTGGAGTGCTGGCTTAGTTGCTGTAGGAGAATTGGTTGGCTGTGTGGGAGCTATTGTTTGCGGATTGTTCAGCTGTTTCGTAACATCCTGAGTAGTTGAGGTGCTGGCTGTGTGCCCATTAGTCTTTTGTGTTATAACAACCTGGGTAATGGTTTGTGTGATTACATCCTGAGATCTAGTGTAGTGATATACTGAGTTTTGTGTTGCAACATCCTGGGAAGGCTTTGGATATATTAGTCACGATGTCTGTAGCTGGTCCAATGAAAAGATGTACAAAAGAGATGGTTTGCATCCATCAAAGAAAGGGACTGAGTTACTCGGCTATAAATTCACAGATTTTCTGGAGGAAAATTTAAACTAAACAGCAGGGACAGTGAGTTAATTGATACAGAACAACCCTGTCCCCGGCAATCTAAAAATTATAGGGCTATCAGTGCATGTAACATAGATGTGTGTGTGGACAAGAATACCAACCTTGCTGTCAAGCAAAATCAAGCCTCTAATAGCGAGTGCCACACAAAGTGCACTATCCAAATATGTGGTAAGACAATAGAGGAACTCAGGCACCACACAAGTTATGTAGAAAGTAAACACAGGGCCAGTCATAAAGGACTCAAAGGTCTATACACCAATGCACAGAGTATGAACAGCAAACAGGGTGAACTAGAAATTCAGGTTAATAAGGGCAGATATGATATTGTTGCCATTATGGAAACATGGTGGGATGAAACCCACACATGGAACACACAGCTAGAGGGATTTAAATTATTTAAAAGAAACAGACCAAATAAAAGAGGAGGTGGAGTTGCTCTCTATATAAGAAATAACTACATCTCTACAGAAATAGAGCACAACAATGATAAAAACTGTCTTGAATGCATTTGGGTCAATATAAAAGGGGGAAAAATGNAGTAGAGAAGGGAACTAGGGGATTAGCCATTTTGGATCTAATTCTCACTAACAGAGATGAAATGATAGAAGGTGTTGAAGCCATAGGAATCCTGGGAGGAAGTGATCATGCAATATTAGAATTCAACATTATGGAAGCACAAGCAATAGAACACAGTCAAACTAGAGTCTTGGACTTCAAGAGAGCTAATTTCAATAAAGTTAGAGAGGGTTTGGAAAGGATTCCATGGATGAGAATCCTCCAGAGGAAAACAACTCAAAAGGCTTGGGAAATTCTGAAAAGTGAGATAATAAAGGCCAAACGATTGGTCCATTAGCAGGTGAAAGTGGCAAGAAGGTGACAAGCAACAGGGAAAAAGCAGAACTATTTAACTCGTTTTTTGCATCTGTCTTTACACAAAGGGAAAAAACAGACCAACCTATCAAAAATAGTGCCATAAAAAACAGAATAGAAACACACGTTAAAATAGGCAAGAAAATGGTAAGTGTCCAGCCTAGATGAGTTCAAATCACCAGGACCAGATGGATTACACCCCAAGGTTCTCAAGGAACTGGCAGATGTGATCTCAGAACCACTGAACTATATTTTTCAAAGATCCTGGAGCACAGGGGAACCACCAGAGGACTGGAAAAAAGCTGATGTAGTTCCCATCTTCAAAAAAGGAAAAAAAATGGACCCAGGAAATTACAGACCTATCAGCCTGACCTCAATACCTGAGAAGATCCCGGAAAAGATAATCAAACAACGATTCAGCGAACACCTAGAGGCAAACAAAGTCTTTTCTAAAAGCCAACATGGGTTTGTCAAAAATAGATCATGCCAGACAAATCTTATTGCATTCTTTGACCAAGTGACAAAATTAGTGGATCACAGGAATGCTCTGGACATAATTTACTTGGACTTCAGTAAGACATTTGATAAGGTAGATCACAACCTACTACTCGATAAGATAGAAAAATGTGGGTTAGACAGCATCACCACCAGATGGATCCGTAGCTGGCTGACTGGCCGTACTCAATGGAACCGCATGTACATGAAGGAAAGTGTGTAGTGGGGTGCCCCAGGGCTCTGTTCTGGGCCCAGTGCTCTTCAACATCTTCATCAACAATTCGGACGAGGGGATAGATGGGGAACTCATCAAATTTGCAGACGACATCAAGCTGGCAGGAATAGCCAACACTCCAGAAGACAGGCTTAAGATGCAGAAGGATCTGGACAGACTTGAACACTGGGCACTATCTAACAAAATGAAATTCAATGATGAAAAAAGCAAGGTTCTACATTTAGGCAAAAAACCCCAAATGCACAGGTATAGTATAGGGGGTACCTTGCTCAATAGTAGTAACTGTGAGAGGGACCTCGGAGTCCTAGTGGACAATCACCTAAATATGAGCCAGCAGTGTGCTGCAGCTGCCAAAAAGGTCAACACAGTGCTAGGCTGCATTAACAGAGGGATAGAATCAAGATCACGTGAAGTGTTAATACCACTTTACAATGCCTTGGTAAGGCCACACTTGGAATACTGCATCCAGTTTTGGACACCGCGCTGTAAAAAAGATGTTGAGACTCTAGAAAGAGTACAGAGAAGAGCAACAAAGATGATTATGGGACTGGAGGCTAAAGCATATATGGAACGGCTGCTGGAATTGGGTATGTCTAGTTAAATGAAGAGAAGGACGAGGGGGACATGATAGCAGTGTTCCAATATCTCAGGGGCTGCCACAAAGAAGAGGGAGTCAAGCTATTTTCCAAAGCGCCTGAAGGCAGGACAAGAAGCAATGGGTGGAAACTAATCAAGGAGAGAAGCAACCTAGAACTAAGGAGAAACTTCCTGACAGTGAGAACAATTAACCAGTGGAACAACCTGCCTCCAGAAGCGGTGAATGCTCCAACACTGGAAGTTTTTAAGAAGAGACTGGACAGCCATTTGTCCAAAATGGTATAGGGTTTCCTGCCTGAGCAGGGGGCTGGACTAGATGACCTCCAAGGTTCCTTCCAACTTTATTATTATTATTATTATTATTATTATTATTATTATTATTATTATTATTATTATTATTATTATTATTATTATTATTATTATTATTATTATTATTATTATTATTGCTACTCAAGAACTTACAATTGTCTGCAGCCAGATATTCACACTGGTTGCTTCCCAAAAGGAACAAGTTACCTTTAAAAGCTGACTGGAACACATTTGCTGATGCCAAAAGAGTATAGAAATAAATCATGAGTTTTAAAGCAATCCTAAATAACCTCAAGACCCAAGACTATAATTTCACACATGAAATGGTCAAAAGCTTTATTTTTCATTTTAAATTATTAATCATTTAATGGTTGTACAAGTCCCTCACGTATTCTTCCAAGCTTCTTACTTATTCAAATAGCAGGAAACAAAAGATTCTATATCAAGTATAATAACTGCAGAATTACAGTGTCAAATTTATTGACCAAAAAGATAATGTCCCTGAAAAAAATAATATAAATTGAATGAAACCAAATGAATCCAAAGCAACCATCTTCAGGTGACATATGTTTGTTTTCATAAGTTCTTATTTAGCCACTCAATGTAGTTGTTAGCGATTCTGTGTCCTATATTTAGTGCAAAAGGACCTGTAATAAATGTTAGAGGACCATGAATAGTATTGTCAACATGTTCATGTATTACCTGAACTCCTGCTTCCCTAAGACGGAAAACATAAATGATTCCATCATCCCTCAAGATATCGTATTGACAAGTGATGACATATGTGAGTGGTAAGCCCCGAAGCTTGATTTCATCAACTAAAAGTGGTGCTAGTCTTGGATCCACTAACCCAGGGTATTTGTGTCCAATTTTGGAAATTCTATGTGATGGGTCAGTATAAATGTGGCCTTTTTTAAATCTTTCAGGTAGCCAGTTACTCCAGTTTACAAATTTAAACAAATGGTTAAACTCTGCAGGAACATGTTGGTTGGTCTCTAAAGCTTTGGCAAAAGACTTATCTGATGTAATATATTCACTGAAGAATCTGAACAATATTCCTTTAGGCAGAATTGGCATGTTTTTATTATCTTGATAGGATGGCAGTTCCATATCAATAGACTGAAGAGCAGGGTATATTAAAGCTTGAATCTTGAATTTAGCTTTGACATCAGGGTCATCTAGAAGCTAGAAAAGAACAGTATTTATTGGAAATATTATTCCCATGAAAGATGGACTATTTAATATGTTTTGTTATTTCATAGTGTAAGCAAAACAATCGTATAAATTTCAAAGCTTATACATTTTCTATCTCTTTTATTCAAAATTGTAGGGGGAAAACCTTACCTAATGTGTTTTCACAGTATTTGTAATCTGCCAATTTTCTATAGTAAAAACTTTTGAGGAAAATTGCAAATAAAATATTGGAAGATATTTTACACTTACTATCCAAAGATATCTTAAGAAGTTCAATATGTTCCAATCTTATCCATCAATGACTATAATTTAACTATTATTTATCAGTACTCTGGAGTTTTGATGTTTTAGGAGTTATTGACTCTTTTTCAATCCTGCCATAATCAAAATAGGCTGGGAAGATTTAAAACTCTTTTCCTTGCAAAGTACAGATAAAGGTTTTCCCCATCCAGTCATGTCCGACTCTGTATACTAAAATTGTCCCAAAAAGTGTCCTCTTATTCCCCCAAAATTATTTCCTCTCAGGAAAGTTTTTGTTTGTTTGTCTTATGTCATTCACAGCTCACACGAACATGTTACATTTACTTTGATGGTGTTGTTGAGCTTGCTTTATTCTTGGAATGGGGCTGGAGTTACATATTTCATAATGAAATAACCATTGACAATTTCCTCCTTCATTCCTCAGTTGTCTTCTCGGGCTTCGTTGGAATCATGGTAGATGCTCTGGAGCAATCAACAAACTAAAAATCTCTAGGACTTTCTTTAAATGGTAGATACCCACTTTTACCCATCTAATGTGAAAAGTCTCAGCAGTTGCACCTGATTGTTAATTGCTGCAGCTGGTTCTTATTTATAACCCAAGGTGTTATGTTGCATGATGATTTCAGGCAGCCGGGATTCAATTCACATGCATAATTCTATAGCCCTCCATTTTGGACTCCTTAAAAGACCCCGAATCTTTCAAGGTAATTAAAAATTGTGACTTCCTACTCTTAGCCATCCACTGTGGAAAGCCCCAACAACTAGCTCTTGTTTCTGATCCAACTTAATTAGTATCAGGATGACTTCAGATGACATGCATACTTCCATTTTGGATTTATTACTTTCAAATGGGTAATACTTACCTGCTGGGTTACAGCTGCAGCTAAGTTACCTCCTGCACTGTCTCCTGCAATGCCGATTCGGCTTGGATCTACATTATATTTCTTCAGAATGCTGCTTTGTAGAAAGTACTTTGCTACTGAGTACACATCTTCGAATGCAACTGGGAACCGATATTTTGGAGCTAGTCTATAACTTTTTGGAATTGGTTAAAAAAGACAGTGACAGAAATATGTGAATTTCCTGTTTTTATAAAACAAAATTGATTTTACAGTATTGATACTAGATTAAATAAGGCGATTGGCTTCCATATAGAAAGCTCTGTGAATTTGCTTACCTTTTTTGAATTCCTGACTTACTTGTGTGCTAAATGGTCTATAAAATGTCTTTCTCTTTTACCGACTAACTCTCATCTGGTCTGTTTTGTCAATAGAATAATTACATTTCATAGGAAGTCATGTTTTATGGAAGCTATAAATTATATGGAATAATTTGAGACAGAATAATCTCTAACTTTGAAAAATGCCATTAGCTTTTTTTTTTTTAAAAAAAAAAGCTGCTGCTAAGCAACACTGATGTAATAATCTGTGGGACAACCCTTAAGAAAGAGGAGAAGGAAGAGCCACAGCCAAAGCAATGGTGAGATAAGAGTCATCTCGGCCTACAGGAGGAATGCGGTGTGGAAAACATCTCAGATGGAACCATCCTGTTTCCCTTGAAAGTAAAGACTCTGTTACTATAACCTTGCAATAAAGGTAGTGTTAGTACTCATAGTATTGGTTTCTTGTCTGGACTACCACAAAAGGTTGACAACTGGGATCATTATATTTTTATATTGTGAAATGGAGGTTTTAGTCTATCGAAAATATTTGTGCATTTCAGTTTATGTATTTAAGTATTATTATACCATCTTCCAATTATATTGTTAGTTTACTCTTTGCCAAAAGAGTAAGATAATTATAACATAAACATCAAGAAACAAATAACCAAAGCTCTCCCCTTAAAGTATAAAAGATGGTAAATGTAAAACTACATTAATTATCCATTATAAATAGGAAATAATACTTATAGCACAGCATATGCAAGGAAGTATAATTTAGTGACCAATAACAATATATATATTTATGAGGCTTCTATTGCTGGTTTGTGCTATTACTAATCATTAATTAATTTTTTGTTTGTAGAAAGATATAAGGAAAAGATTAATGAACAAAAATGTCTACTTCAAACACTATTCTTACTCGACTGACACCACAACAGCAGTTAGTCTTTCTGACGTCCATCTTGATAAGAGGTCATAGGATTTCATGTCTGTGAAAAATAAATGGCAAAGCATGTTTTATTACTCTTGCAATATCTATACACAATGCATGCTTCCAAAACAACATGGAACAAGGGCTTTAGACTCCCACAAGGGTGAGCCTAGCATGTCACCATAGAAAGCTAAGAAACATCAAGCTCCTTTTATGAATAGCAGAAATGTTCCTGCCTCGTGTTCATGTGAGGTCTAAAGTCCTAAGCCTACACAATTCTAATGAGCTGTTATCTGCTTTTCTTGGGAGTGACTTTCTGGAAACTTTCTCTGAATCTTTAATCCAGTGTTTCCCAATCTTGGCAACTTCAAGATTTGTGGATGCCAGTTTCCAAAATTCTACTGCCTGAGTAATTCTGGGAGTGGAAATTAATTTTGGGAGCATCATAAAATTATTGAGGCAAGGAGAAACTGCTCTAATCTCTACCATTCAGTGAGATCCTTGGGATAACAGTGCTCCTGCTGAGGCTCCCAAGACTACCAAAGTAGAGAAGCAAGTAATCAGCAGGATGTGAAGACCTTTTAAAATGGGTTTTGAACATTTCCATATTTAAATTTATTTATTATTTATTAATTACATTTATATCCCGCCCTTCTCCTTGCGGACTCAGGGCGGCTGAGTAGGGATACTTTTTGGAGTAGGGATACTTTTTGGAGTAGGGATACTTTTTGGAGTAGGGATACTTTTTCATTGATTAGGCACAGTTTTAGGAGGTATCTTCCTTCATCTTTGAGAAGCTCAATGCTCCGTCTGATTTGAGAGAAGGTTTTTTTTTCTTTTTTTAATAATATTTTATTATTTTTTCTAATTTTACAGTTAAATATTTAAAAAGCAACGTGGTGACTGGGTTAATCAATAGTTCAATAACATACATAAGTCTTTAGTATAAATCTCAAGTTACAACATCAGATATTTCCTCTCTTTTTCCCTTAATAATATCTACTATCTCATATTAGGCTAATACAATTCTTGTTATTATCAACTAAGTAAAAACATCTTTGTTACATTTATCAATAGTTTTTAGCTTATACATATCTTAATTATGTTTGCATTCAATCCTTACATACGATCAATGTCCTGTTATTGCTTTTTTCCCCAAGCTTTAATTTCCCATCAATATTCAAATTAACATTTGGCATTTATAATTTCCAAGCTTTAGGTAACCAAAGTTTCCCTTATCTCAACTTCTTCCTTTTTCCCTTTTCATAACAAAATCTAGTATTCTAAATACACATCTATTTGAATATAGTTTTGTTCTGTTTTCTAAAAGTTATCTATTTTCCACCATATTAAACTATCTAATTAATAATACAGTATCTCCTCTAATAAATCAAAACCATTATATGCATTGTCTGAGTTAACTAATTAATCAGTAATATACATAATTTTTTTACTTTAGGTCTAATTTTTAAAAACTCAAATACTCCCTCTCTTTTTCTAGTAATATCTATTATCTCATATTGGGCAAAAAAAATCTTGTTACATTTATCAATACTTTTTAGCCTATACATAAACTTAAATTTCCCATCAATATTCAAAAAAAAGAGGGAAAGAAAAAAAACAATAAACAAAAACACTGTTATTTATGATTTTCAAATATTTTATATTAGGTGACCAAAATTTCCCTTGTCTCAACTTCTCCCTTTTTCCCTTTTCATACCAAAGTCTATTAGTCTTGTTATGCAAGAAGATTGGATTCTTCTATTATACCTTAGTGAAAGCCCCGGGACAACAGAATAAATAGATACAGTTTTTATTTAAGACCCACATTAGTGGAATTAGTGAAATAAAATACTTATGTTTACTTGCTGATCCAATACACCATCCACCTCCATGAATGAAAATCATTGCTCTTTTCAAGACATCTTCCTGCTTTGTAGGAATGTAAAGACGTACTGGAACATGGCTAAATTTTGTGTCTGTTACAATAACTTTTTCATCAGATGTAGGTGCTGTATATTCCATAATTGTGTATAAATTCATAACATCCATATAGTGTCCAAGACCCAACTTCTCCACAATTGTGGCCTGCAAAACAAAAGAAATCTTTGTGCTAAGCAAAGGCTTCATAGTAATCTAAACTCCATATCTTTTTCCATAAATCAGCATTTCTCAATCTTGGCAAGTCTGAGACCTCAACTTTCAGAGTTCCACAGCCAGCAATTGCTAGGGGCTCAGATAGGACACCCATCAGAAGGGGCTCAGGGAGAATGAAAAATCACCTGAGTGGAATCAACAAGGATCAGAACAAGAAGACAGTTAATGAGATAATCTAGCACTCACTCGGTAAATACACGGAAAAAGACTGATATGCACTAGACACCAGATATGGGAGAGGAAAATATCCACAAAAGCTTTGGAGAAAAGTATCATGCAAGAAAAAGAATTGTTTTTGCTTCAGAGAAAGACCTGTATCTGTTGCCCTGGAGAGGACACCATGAGATACTCCAAGGCAGTGGTGGGATTCAAATACCTGAACATCCAGTTATCTGCATGGATGCAGGCCTGGGCCTCCGAGGCCTAGAATGGATTTCTCGAAGTGACATCCATGCACTTCCTGTGGGCTGTTCTAGGCCTGGGAGGCCTCCTCCAGGCCTCCAAGGCCTACAATGGACTTCCGGAAGTGACATCCATGCACTTCTAGCGCGCTATTCTAGGCCTGGGAGGCCTTCACCAGGCCTAGAACGGTTTTCCGGAAGTGACATCCACGCACTTCCGGTGGGCAGTTCTAGGCCTGGGAGACCTTCTCCAGGCCTCTGAGGCCTAGAACAGACTTCCAGAAGCAGCATGGATTCAGCCGGTTCTCCGAACTCAACAAAATTTAGCTACCTGTTCTACCGAACCGGTGAGAACCGGCTGAATCCCACCACTGCTCCCAAGACATCCTGAAAAGAATTCTGCAGATACTAGAAGGAACAATCATTTCAGATATCTGCAGATACTAGAAGGAACAAGCAAGAGACTGTAAGGGGAGAGAAAACAGGGAGTTAATAAAGTAATAAAGCCATAAAAGAGAAAAGGAAGTATTAACGAGACATAAATAATAATGGAGAATATGAGATATAAAATGAAGACCTCAATGTTCAGACAGAGAGAGGGTCAGAGTTAAAAGTTAAATGCTAATTATAAAAAATGTAATTATATAAAAATATAATAGGATAATGAAGGAATTAAAAATATAACTGTTTAGTGTTTCATGATCTAATGACCACAGGGGGCCAGTAGGATGTAGATAGAAAATTAATAATTTAGTATACTGGTTTGCAATCACCTACTCTTTATTTAAGAAATAGCTAATGGTTTTGACAATTCCCCTGACAGGTGCTAGCATTTGCCTCTCTTAATAATGTACTGATTGCAAATGAATGTCTCTTCTATTATAATAGTAAAACCTGTTTTACTAATCCTGGTTTGGGTCAGGTTTCCACACTTAGGAATGCTGGCAGAAAACCATATGAGCTGAGATTGTGCACCTGTGGACAAAGGGTCATTGATACTATAGCTCATGTCCTGCTATACAGCATCTTCTACAAGGACTCATTTTGTAACATCTTACCTAATAAAATATCTGGGAAACACTGATCTTTTTGAAGTGCAACTACTGTTATCAGGTCAACATGAAGTAGTTTCTTTGAATGTGTCCAAATTCTGCTATGCTGTATGTAAAATTAGGCAAACTTTAATTGCCCACTATTAATCCACCACCAATCGCAATATATTATTCTGTCTGCCTTTATTTTTATTTTTTCTATTATTATTTTTAATGCTAATCTGTGACCATAATAAAAATTGATTGAATACTTAGGAATGTTGGCAAGCATACATAGAATATCTTGATCTCCAAGAATTATTACATTTTTATTTCATTTTTTTCCTGAAAGGTGGCTAATGAGTGTTATCCTCACAACAACTCCCTGTATTAAGAGTGAGTGACTGGCGACTTCCGGTTCCGGTATGCAGCGACACCGGTCGCGTCTGGGGACTCGTCTCCAGTCCGGCCAGGTTTTCTGCGTCGGTAGACCCCCTAGCGGGTCGAAAGTCGCCCTGGAGGGGCGACCACCGAGGAGGAGGCTTGCTGGTGACTGTGGGAGAGCGGCAGCTTCTCCCACGGCCCCAGCTATTTCCTTAGGGCTGATGGATAAACGATTGTCCTGCAAGATGGCCGATTATCCTGCTGCACCAGCCGAAGTCACAATTACAGCTAAGCGATATTAGACCCACCGCGGAGGATCCAGGTGAGACCCTTTTGCCCCTCTCTTTCCCCCACTTGGTTTTTTTTTGCCTGTAAAAACTTTGGAATTATTTCCCCGTTTGGAAAAAGCAGCTTCTGTATGTGTGGGGGAAAAGGCGTTGAGAAGAAAATTTTTTTTAAAGACTACATTCTATTTTCAGTCAATTTGGAATACAGAAAAAAAACGCTTTTTTGAATTGTATTAGTAGCTAATATTGGAAGATTATTTCTTTCTCTGCTCTTTCCTTTAAAAGATAGAAAAAAGGGAAAAAATGGTGTCTGGAAAAGATTTTCTATTTACTGAGAACATCTAGTGGTGAGAAGGACCTGACCTTTAGACTATTTCTGGAGAAGATAAGCTGGTGCAGCTGTGGGAACTGAGGGGGTGGACACTGTTTAATTACAGTCCTCATTAAAATAATAATAATAATAATAATAATAATAATAATAATAATAATAATAATAATAATAATAATAATAATAATAATAATAATAATAATAATAATAAAGAAAGGACTCTCTTTGATTACTTTTAAAATGGAGAAACCCTACTCTCACTTAAATTGCAAGCTTATACTGGAAAAGCTCTATGAGGTTTTGGAAGAAATATGTGCTATAAGGAAAGGGATTACTACAGAACGAAGTGTCAACTTTACCCCAAACTTCCAAACTGACTTTCAGACTACAACTGCTTATTCTACAAACCAAAACATACTGGAAGAGGAATTAAGGGAGATTAAAGAGGACTTTGTTACAATGAAAGAGATTACCACAGAACTAAGAACCAGAGATTCTTCTTTAAATCTTAAAAGTGACTTTCAGACTACACCTGACTATTCTACAAACCAAAATACACTAAAAGATGACTTTATTGAGGATACAGAGGAACTTATTTCACCCTACAAGCATCTTACTTATATTTTTGAGGAACAGAAAAAGCAAAGACTGAGATTTGAACCTTTAAATCAGCGAGGTTTCAAGAACAAGAGAAATGGAGGCCCAATGCAGAGGACAAGAAGCTTATTACTGCCGCAAGTGGCATCACAAGCAACAAAGAGAGACCTATTGGATGAAAAGGAAGCGTTGCTGTGGAAACCTGCTTGGCAGAAAAAAAAAGCCTAGAATAAGACTGAAAACAGAAATTTAAAATATATATTGGATATAAGGCATTTTAGAACTATGGATTGATTTAAGGATTAAGTTCTTGAGTAGAAATAAGAAAAATGGGTGACTATTAATAATGGAATGAAGAAAAATGAAGAGATGTTCTAGATCGGGATTCGAACTAATTAATTAAATGTGATTCTAATTAGATTTTGTGTTTTGTTTGATAATATGGATATTATTAGGTTTGATAATTAATTGGATAAAATCAGAACCGTGTTTAAGGGACTCAAATGATTTAAGGTTGATATTATTTTGTTTAGCTAGAAATCGATTGATTGATGGTTTAGATATTTATAGGATAGATCAATATTTTATCTTAATTAGGAGATATTAGTGGAAGAAGGAATAAACAAGATTTATGATGAAATCAAAGAATTAGGATATATCTGGAAGGGATACCTGAACTGATAATGTGTGTATTTTCAGTTAAATTTGATTATGATCTTGTAATTGCATAAAGCTCTAAAACAGGTTTAGGATTAATAGAAATTTAAGTTAGAAATAGACTATTTTAAATACATAAGATATTTGAGGGAAATAGAGAGGGAATATTTGATGTACTGATTAAGTTACTTATATATGTTTTGTTTTTGGATCTTTGATTGCTCCAGCACCACGGTGTGTCTCAAGCACTTTGTATTAAGAACTAAAAAACCAATAAAATTTGTTTTAAAAAAAAAGAGTGAGTGACTGGCTATGACGTAACCTCCATGGGCAAGTGGGATTTTGAATTTTGTTTAAATCCATCATCTTAACTGTAGCTCTTAGAAGGTAGGTATATATTATAATACTAAGCACTGGGACAATCAACCACTATTCGCTGATAACTTGTTCAAGTTATCCACAAAGGTTTTGGCCTTCCCGATCTGGAAAAATACTATCAATCTACAATTTTACTGTGGTTGCGGGATTGGATTCGACTGGAAAATTGGAGATTATTAAAACTGGAAGGTCATGACATGCAGATTGGATGGCATGCCATGTTATGGGATGAGAAGTATAAAGCTCACCAGTATTTCCGGAGGCATCACATCAGACGGGCGCTAA